CATCTACAAAGATGTCCAGGCAGATTTGAAAAGAACAAGAAATGAGAATCCTAGGAATGAACAACATAATTACTAAAATTAAAAGCTCAGTGTAGGGATTAAAAATGAGATAAAAATACTGAAGAGGAACCTGGGCATGTAGATCTGAATAAATGAGCAGAGTGAGGCACCGGGAGGCAAAGAAACAGAAAGTAGGACCCAGACAGGCTAAGGGCTCTGGAGAGCAAAACAAGGAAAAGTCCTAGCGTTTCTTCAGAGCTACAGAAAAAAGCCGCAGAGAAAACGGGGAGAGGTAACACCTGCCGGCTAGTTTGCAGAACTGACAAACACGTGAGCTGCAGACCCAGCAATCCCAGGGTATAAGCAGGTAAGGCAGAGGAGCGAGGGGCGTCCGCGCAGCGGAGAGCGAGTGGAGGACGGGCCGGAGGCTCCTCAGAGGCAGGGACGCAGCGGGGGCCTCGGAGGAGTGACGGCCGCTGGGAGGCGTTTCTTGGGGGAATAAGGCGCACGGGACACGCTATTAACGAGCATCCCCACATCCAGGAAGGAGCAATACGGCTAAACAGGAAATAAACGTTGGTTTTGTTTTCCTTTTAAAAAAGTATACGCCCTATTTCTATAGACACAAACACCCAGAGTACTTTCTGCAAGAAGGTTTTCAAGACCAAAACGGAATTTAAAAAATACTAAATTTATATTATCTTGATATTATGTTTATGTGCCAATTTTGAAACTACAGGAATTTAGATGCCCCATTCAACATTGAGTGAATATCTTTCAAAGAGAATAAATAGAGCTCTGACTTAAGAAAATAACATTAGACTTGCCAAATTTCATGTTCAAGAGCAAGTATTAATATGTCGTCATTTTACAGAAACAAGATGGCGGCGTAGGGAACAGCGGCGCCCGCCGCCTGCTGCGGCCACATCAAAATCACAACTAAGACACAGAACCACCTCACTCAGAGCCTCCCGGGATCCGGCTGCACAGAAGCCCCACAACCAGGGACCTGAAGAAGCATCTAGACCGGGAGGAGGGGCGCAGACGCGGGCGGGTCGGGGCTGAATCACAGGGACGCGGCGGAGGGCCCACACCCGGTGGGGGGGGGGTAAACCCAGGAGGGAATCTCGGCGGCGGTGGGGGTTTTCCGGAGGAGGGAGGGGTCCCAGCCCCACAGCAGGCCCCCAGCCCAGGGCTCCAGGCCGGGAAGAGACGTCCCCACAACTCCGGGCTGTGAAACCAGCGGGGACTGTCCCTGAGGGTCGCGGAGGCTGCGGGAGCCCCAGCAGCTCCTCTAAAGGGCCCGGCACGGACTCACTCGGACGCTCCCTCTGAGCCCAGCGCCGGGCAGCAGCCTGAAAGGACCTGGGACACTCGGGGAGGAACTAACCTGCCTGAGATCCGGGCGAGAGG